TTACTATGTTTTCTTCAATAGATTGTCAGATAACTTTTGTCCCAAAAAGTTTTTTTAAAAAAGGAATAGAAACATTAATATAATTTTCCACTGGTACATTAGGAGTCTCTTCCAAAGTGAGGAAAAAGAGCTCTGGTTAACCTTTGACAGTAGTGCAGTTCCCAAGAGATCTTTTCCTTGTGATTTTTTCATGCATCTCCTATTTGTTGCATCACTGGATGTCAACATGCAGAGCAAAAGTGGCAGAGGCTCCCTCTTTGGAGGCTTTTAAACATAGGCTGGATGGCCACCTGTCAGGGTGCTTTGAATGTGATTTTCCTGCTTCTTGGCAGGGGTTTGAACTGGATGGCCCATGAGGTTTCTTTCAGCTCTATTATTCTATGACCCAGGATCATGCCTAGCAATAAATCACCCTTTGTGCATATAATAAAGGGTGGGGATGGATAGAAATCTTACATTTGTCATAATTTCTAATTAACTGCATAGCAAAGGTCATTAAGCCTAGGTATACATTCTTGTTTTCCAAACAAGTCAATAATTGACTTTTATGTTTAAGTTGCCAAAGGCCTTCTGTGTTTGGGATAGCCTGAACATTCTGCTGCTTAGGCAGTGAAAGGGGGTATGTATGCGTATTTTTTCTGTCCATCACAACCAGTATTTTATAATTTTCTTTTGCAAGCAGAAGGGATCTCCTGCAGAATCTTATGACACAGCAAATTGGGCCATTTTAACCTTTGTACAACCTCACTGTAAAATGCATTTTAAAAATAAAACCTATACATCAGTTTTCTCAAAAATGCAAACCAGTAATTAAAGCAGTAGTTGGCAGTATCTCCTAATTGATCATACTAAGCTTGTAAAGAGGGGGCTCTATGGGAGGGGCTGATTTCAAAGCCTCTGAAAAGTGTACTGTTTTGCTCGTATTTTTTTGTAATCTTATGAACAGGTTTTCAGCCAAAATTATGAGTAAGTTGGGATCATTCCACAGAAAGGGATAGGTTTAATCAGGTTTTGGGGGTCTTATGCACAAGTTAATATGACTTTGTACATTAACTATTATTTTTTAATAAACAGGACAACCCCCTTCTCTGAGTAGAGTGGCAAAAGGCAAGAGTTTAGTCTAGAGGTCCTCAAACATTGTAAGCAGAGGGCCAGTTCACGGTCCCTCACAGTTGGAGGGCCACACTATAGTTTGAGCATTACAATATTTAAAATAAAGAACAATTTTAGCCAGCATAAACTTACTAGTATTTCAATGGGAAGTGTGGAACTGCTTTTGGCTGATGAGACAGACAAGTTAGTTAAGATTATTGTTATGTGCCTTCAAGTCATTTCAGACTGAGGGCGACCCAAAATCTAAAGTTTAGGGCAGAGGCGGGGCATTGCCCTTGGATAACATTTCCATTAATGGGATGTTTGTTCAAAGAGCAGCTTTATTTTCTGAATAGCTATCCTTTTAGGTTTCCAGCTGGAGTAAGTCTTAAGAGAAAAGACAGCAGAAAAGATTAAACTACCCCAAAGTTTAAGAGATTAGACAGCCCTTCAAAGTTTAGGACAGGGGTTGGGAAAATGTCCCTGGAGGACTGCCTCTGGCCTGTGGGCCTTAGTTTGGAGACCTGTGGTTTAGTCTATTGCACGGCCCTTCCACATAGCCATATAATCCAGAATATCAAGGAAGAAAATCCCACAATATCTGCTTTGAATTGGATTATCAGAGTCCACACTGCGATATATCCCAGTTCAAAGCAGAAAATGTGGGATTTATTCAGCTGTGTGGAAGGGGCCCCAGAAGAACCTAAAAGAAGTACTGGCTTGCTGCTGAAGACATAAAACTAGGAAGAAACACTCACTCTGATTTAATATATCACTATTTTTGTTCTTGTACAGGTCCAGAAAACACCTTGATAAGAAGTCATAGAGGATTAGTTCTCTACTCTCTGCCAGGATGGTGTTTCTGGTGCTACTTGAGTGCCTGGCTGGCAAAATGGCAGTGGCATTCAAGGGTGGCTGCCCCTCAAGGCAGCATTGATTATTTTATAACCATCATTTTTATATCAAAATCCACAATCTTGGCCCCAAACTCTGCCCTTGACTTACACATGATGTTGACTTAGAAATGAGTATATACCAGGCATGGGCAAACTTTGGCCCTCCAGGCATTTTGGACTTCAACTCCTACCATTCAGACAGCCTCCCAGCTATTAGGAATGCTAGGAGTTGGAGTCCAAAACACCTGGAGGGTCAAAGTTTGCCCATATCTCGTATATACAGTATGCCCTGTGCATTTTGCTCTATTTGTTTTAATTTTTTAAAGCCACTATGAATACTAGTATTAGGGAAAAGCCAGGAACTAAATAAATTATTGATGATGATGAGTACCGTATTTGATAAGTATTCCTCCTAGTGCATATGGCTGGTCTCTAACATTCCCCTTCAGGGCCCTATCTTTTCTCGTCACATAATTGTTATCCCTGTCTTCTTGCCTAGGTATCCTGAAGACAACACCTTCCTTCTATATTACCTTAGACATTCTTCCTCTGCATTTGATCATCCTTGTATGATGAGCATAATATATGGAAAGCTAGGCTTAATATAGAGGAAAGGGATGTAAACACTGGAGGAAGGAATAGCAATAATTCATTATTCTGCAGGAGGGTCCTTTCTGAGGTTTTTAAAACCAAACTTGGAAAGCAACCCACAAAATATGGAATTGGGTACCTCAAAGTGACATTTGAGACAATGAGTTAAAGCTGTCTTAAATCCATCTGAAACTAAAGTTGCAAAATATGACTGCTTCTTTCCAGAGTAACAAAATGAAACAAGAAACAATAGCACAAGGGTTCAGGTAGTTTTCTATTTTACAGGGTCAATGACTACAAATCAGGCAAAATATAAAAACTAAACCTAATCTAAATTTAATTCCTCATGCCATGAAGCAGTGGTTCTCAACCTGTGGGTCCCTAGGAGTTTTGGCCTACAACTCTCAGAAATCCCAGCCAGTTTACCAGCTGTTAGGATTTCTAGGGAGTTGAAGGCCAAAACAACTGGGGACCCACAGGTTAAGAACCACTGTCATAAAGGAATTTTACAAGCTTTAATAACTTCAAAAGTCAATATTCAAGGATGAACAAGATGCTTCTTAGTTTTGAAGAACTCTTCAAGTGTTCTAAGACAAACACAAGCAGGCATTAAAATGGACATGGATGCATGTAACCAACTATGTGACAATAGAAGAGAGACTTCATGCAACCAAACTCGATTATCTTATCTTATAACTGTAATAAAGTAAGATAAGATAACTGAAAAAGCAGTTCTGAATTGTTACAAAGAAATAAAAGAAATGGTACAATGTATCACTTTTATTCAATCAACCAGATGAAGCTGAGCTTCTTTATGACCTTGTCAAATCCTAATATAACAGAAGTATGTAGTTAGCCCTCCACATTAACTGGTGTTAAGACACAGGATCCCTGCAAAAATGAAAAATTGCCAATCATAGAAATGTTTTTTAAAAAACAAACAAAAACCTGAGAGAACATCTCGGTTCTCCAGCATGACTCTATGGTCAATTTCTATCACTAAATCATACTGGAAAGCCTAGAGATTCCAAGAAAGGTATTCTGTCTACCAATTTTTAGGTCCTTCAACATGAATTTATGTGCAGAAGTTGACCAGACTGTAACACTGGAATACCTAGAGATTCTGAGAAAATCTGCAAAAGTCAAACATGGAGAGTTGACTGTGATCGCTTTCATTGAACTTCACAATCCCTGTGCCTGCCTGTCATAACAAACCATGATTAAGTCCACTGATATCTGATCTGCCATGATGACTTAATGTGCCTTTGCTAATGAACCATGGTTTGTTTACCATTGCAGTCAGAGTTCATAGTAGATGAGGCATTCAAAGGAAAGTTAATTAAATATGTGAGAGAAGCAGGATGCTATTTTGCCTCTCTTGGCCATTATATTGCTCTCATGAGGGTTCTAAGCAGGAGAATTTTTTCTCCATTTGGGCCAGAGCCATAAAAAAAATCCAAGGACTGTCTCAGATTCTATGCTCCAGGCATAAAAAAGCTTATTTGAAGCTTATTTAAACCAATGGTTTTACTGTAACATCCCAACCACAAGTGAGGTTTTACTGTATCATCCCAACCACAAGTGCTCCTTGTATTTTTCTTATGCTCCACTCTGAGGAAAGAGCTGGCAAACAGACAGGAGAACAAAATAAGTCAGGAAGATGAGTTGTGGTTTGTTTGGTCACAAATAGCAAGACACAGCAGTATGATTCAAAGAAATAGCCATGTTAGTCTAAGCAAAATTATTCAAGGACATCCTAGTACAAGCAGTCCCCAGCTTACAAGCATCCAACTTACATCCAATTCCTAGTTACAAATGGGGGCAAGACACCAGGAAGTGAGAGGAAATCTGCCCCTAAGAAGGGAAATTCAGTCCTGGAAGAGCTATCATGGGGAAAAAAAGATGTCTACACTGAAGCTTTATTATAAATCTTTATTTCCACAGCAACCCAAAATTGTCAAAATCCAATTGTCACAGTGACAGAAAGTGAGGTGAAATCTTTACAACAGGAGCACAGACAACAAAATAAATATTACATGGGTAATATTTCCCTATAATATCCAAAACTTTTTTAAAAAATGGTTGGGGTTACCCTTTAAAATGCACCTGTTCCAACTTACGTGCAAATTCAACTTAAGCACAAGCCTATAGAACATATATTATTTGCAACCTGGGGATTGCCAATATAAAGTATTATGGATTCCAGTTCACTTCTGCATCTGATGAAATGGACTGAAATTCATGAAATCCTATGCTTTAAATTGATTTTTCTTAGTTCCCATCAAAGGTGATATAGGATTACTTTAAGTCTTTCATAAGCCATGGTTAACACAATGCACAGCTTACCACAGCCTGTGAATGCATCAGTGTTTAATTAATTTCTCACAGTATTATAATAAAATAAAATAAAAATTGACTTACTGTTGCTTGACTTGAGATCTCTGTGAAGGATGGAAACGATGGCTTCTTGGTGCAAATAGAGCATCCCGCGAGCGATCTGGACGGCCCAGTTGACCAGTATGTGAGGAGGAATGCGCCGACCGCGATGGCTCCCGCTACTGGTGGGCGAAGCACCTGACAAGACCCTGTTGAGGGGTCCTCCCCTCGCAAACTCCATAACCAGACAGAGGTTGGGCTCCTGCAGACTTACACCACGGAGTTCAATGATGTTAGGGTGCCTCAACATGGAGAACAATTTTGCTTCCTGCCTCACGCTTGCCGCAGTGGCCATGATGTCCTCATCTGGGTCTTGCCGTGCTGCTTTCACTGCCACTTCCTGGCCTTTCCATGTGGCTCTGTACACTTTTCCAAAGCCCCCAACCCCAATGATCTCTTGCAGCTCCAGATGCTGGAAGTCAATCTCAGCTAGAGAAGCCACATGGTCTCCACCACCTATAGGCTGTCCATCACTCATTGCTTGGCTTTGGGCTTGGTGCCCAGACTTCTCCAACAAACCAAACTGGGGGTGCTGGTAGCGCCCGGGCTGATAAGTCACATAGTTGGCCGGGAAGATGCCAAGGCGGTGGCGGATTTTGCCAGCCCACCAGCCGTCGTCTCCAGAGACGGCTGCATCTTTGGAGAGCACTTCGACCACTTCTCCTCGGCGCAGGCTCAGCTCATCTTCCCCTGTGGCTTCATAGTCGTAGAGCACGGTCCAGAGGGGGCAGGAGGTGCCAACGCCCCCTGAAGACCCCCCAGACCCTCCCTCAGCACCAAGCAATGCCATGGTCAAGGTGTTAGGGGTGCCAAACACGTCAACGTTTACTTCAACATTGGAAAGAAGCAGGGAGCATACCTCCAGAGGAGCCTACCATTGTGCCCTTCTTGATCTGGCCATGAAGGTGCCAAGGAAAGGGACTGAAATAAAAACAGACCGCAAAGATGGGAGAGCCACGGTGGGAAAGTGGGGTGCATTGGCATCAGATACAGAGAAACGGGGTGCATGAGGAAGAGGGGGGGAGGAGATGATTAGGACAAGGCCTAAGCCACAAGGAAGTTAGGACCTTTGAGGAAAAGGTAACATATGAGAGAGACAGCTAGGGCAGAAGCAAAGGAAGTTATAATGGTTTGAAATCATCCGGGGGTTCAAGTAATAAGGGGAAAAGGGGAAAGAAAGAAAAGTAAGTGGGGGGAAAGGGAGAGAAGAAAGTGCAAGGAAACACAAAGGAGGAAAGGCACAGAGTGGTGGGCGGATTGCAGACTCCGGGCCAGGAAGGCAGAGAGAGCACCTTTGAGAGAGAGAGGGACTGGACCCAAGTCTGGGGCAGAGAGAAACAACTCTTCCGAGTGGGAGGAAAGGCAGGAGAGCAGGAGCGCGGGCAAAGGAAGCCACAGGCAGAGGCAGGAGCCGAGGCCAGTCCGGCCTGGTTTGCAGCGGGAGAGGCGGCGTGGGCTATTCCCGGGGCGTCCCCGCCGCCCCCAAAGCCAGGGCCCTCCCCATTGCTGCCTTCTGCCTGCGAGAGCTCCTGCCCAAGAGCTCCTGCCCGGCCCGGATTGGTCACGGCGGGTCACGTGAGGCGGGAGGGGGCCGTCCCGGGGTGTGGGTCCAAGAGGGAAGTCAGGCAGGTGGGGAGCCGAGGGGAGGAGCCCAAAGCCTCCCAGGGAAGGAGGAGGGGGAGGAGGAGGAGGAGGAGGAGGAGGAGGAGGGGGAGGGGGAGGGGGAGGGGCGGCGGAGAAGCCCCAGGGAGCCATGGAGCCTCCCCTTCGCTCTTAGGTCCGAAGGCTTCAATGAATGGGGTGCCTTGCCTCCAAAGGCAAGTCTCCACTGCTACAGTAAGACAAAAGTTTTGCATGTTATTAAACATATAGATAGGTAGATAGAGATCTATGGATAGACTGGCTCTGTGCATATGTGTTTTCTGTGTATATATCAGGGGGCCTCAAAGGGGGCCTCCCAAGGGCATGTATCCGGCCCGCCGAGGAGGAGGCCTGCGCCTTAGTGGAATCAGTCTTGGTTCTGCGCACGCAGAGCTCCGTTCGTTCTTTCTGTTTCCCCCTCAAGCTCTCTCTCTTTCTCCCCGTTTCAGTCTCTCCCCCTTTCCCCTCTGCTTCTCTGTCTCCCTCCTCCTTTCTCTCTTTCTCCCTCTTTTTTCCTCTCTCTTTCTCCTCTTCTTCCCTTTCTTCTTCTTCTTCCTCCGAGGTGGGTGTGGAGCGCTGCGGCTGCTGCCTGGAASTGCTGAGGCAAGAGAATGCCTTGCCTCCACTCTTCCAGAAAAGACACAGAGCTGTCAATAGGCAGCCCCGAAGCCTCCCCTCGCCATCCAGCCCTCCCTCCTTCCCAACACCTCTACCTGAACGCTGGGCTCAAGGAGCCCCTGCAAAGCCCCCCCCCCCCAGTTAAACAGGAAGGGGGAGAGTGGGGGCGGCAGATACACCAGTCTCCTGGAGGAAAAACGTCTCCTCAAAACCTGGGGTAACTTTTCTTCCCTTCTTTGTCCTCTGCTTCTCTTTGGCAAATCCAGGCTCCTGCTGTGAAAGCAGCCGGTAGGTAGGCTGTTAGGAACTGTGGGAATTGAAGTCCAAAACACAAGGAGGGCCCAAGTTGACCCATGGCTGCTTCAAAAAATACCAGTGATATTTAATTCTGTTGTAACGTTTCATATATTTGTAGATTTAAAATTGTATTGAAATGTAAGCTGCTTTGGCCCCTTCCACACAGCTGTATAAAATACACACTGAACCGGTTTATATGCCAGTGTGGACTTTGATAATGCAGTTCAAAGCAGATACTGTGGATTATATGCCTTGATATTCTGGGTTATATGGCTGTTTGGAAGGACCCTTTGAGAGACCTTCAAGACAGGTCCTATATCCCAGGATCTGATCCTAGGTTTTCTCTTTATCCCAGGTTATCTGGCAGTGCAGACTTATATAATCCAGTTTTAAAAAGAAAACCTGGGATCAGATCCTGGTATATAGGGCCTGTCTGGAAGGGCTCACAGTCTGCTTGTGGAGACAAAAAGTGGTATATAAATAAACATAATAATAATAATAATAATAATAATAATAATAATAATAAATAAATAAATAAATAAAGCCCTCCTCTTCTGATCTCCTGCTTTGGTCAGAGCTTCCCACCTGGAATCACACTCTGAAACCAAATTGGAGAACAAAAATCTGTTCCTGGCTTGAAAGTGTTATTTCCTGTTTAATTGTGTGGTCCTTACTTTGAACGTAGTTGTTCTCCTCCAGATACTTTGTGTGGCTGCCACAGACTATGGTGAATTTAATTGTCATGGGTGTTCTGTATGCCAAGTTTGGTTGAATCCTATTGTTGGGGAATTCAGAATGCTCTTTGATTGCAGGAGCGACTGCAACATTCACATGTTTGAGTGTATTGTAACCAAACCTTTCCAGTATTTTCTGTTGGTCATGGGAGTTCAGCTGATAGGCTGATCAGTAAACATATTAATGGGTTCCCTGCTGTTATATTAAGACTGTTACCCATGCTGTGACATGCTTGGAAGTCAAAATTTCATTTATTTGTAATTAGAAATAAATATTTCACAATATATAATTACAAATTCATGTTGTGATTAATCACTATGCTTTATGTTCAGTTTGTATCAATGAAAATACATCCTGCATATCAGATATTTACATTATGATTCATAACAATAGCAAAATAAGGTATGTGCACTGTGCATAGGAATTTGATCATAGTTTTTATTTAAAAAAAACTATAGTCAGGCCCTTCAATGGTCTGAGGGACAATGAACTGGCCCCCTGTTAAAAAAGTTTGAGGACCCCTGGTATATATCTTTGTGGGGTAAAGGTAAAGGTTTTCCCCTGACATTAAGTCCAGTCATGTCCGACTTTGGTGGGTGTTGCTCATCTCCTTTTCTAAGCCGAAGAGCTGGCGTTGTCCGTAGACACCTCCAAGGTCATGTGGCTGGCATGACTGCATGGAGCGCCGCTACCTCCCTGTTGGAGCGGTACCTATTGATCTACTCATATTTGCATGCTTTAGAATTGCTAGGTTGGCAGAAGCTGGGAGTAACAGCGGGAGCTCATGCAGCTCCCCAGATTTGGACCTGCGACATATGTGTGTTTGCGTGTGTATATATATGTGTGTGTGTGTGTGTGGTTTTGCACATGTGTTGTAATGTATTTTTGTTTTTTGGTTTTTTAAGTCCCTTCCACTGTGTTTTCCAGTGTTTTTTTATGAGTGATGATCACTCGTTGACCTGAAGAGTGTATTGTGTCCAAATTTGGTGTCAATTTGTCCAGTGGTTTTGGGCAAACGTGGACACAATACACCTATCAGGCCAATGAGTGACCATCACTCATAAAAACACTGAAAAACACAGTGGAAGAGACACAAAAAGCCCAAAAAACCCCATTACAACACATGCGCAAAACCACATATATATACGCAAACAGACATATATACAAATATACACAAATATATACACACACGTATACACATATACAAAAACTAGGCCACAGCAATGTGTGGCAGGGGATGGCTAGTAGAACATAAAACTGTTAATATTCATAGTTAAAAGAATTGTTTTATTCTTCTCTTGAAAGATTAATTGACTTCTCTTCTCATACACAATAATTCAGGCATGGGCAAACCTGGGCCTTCAGGTGTTTTGGACTCCAACTCCCATCATTCCTAATAGCCTCAGCCATTCCTAATGCTTAAGCAGCTGAGGGGAGAAAGGAAAGGGCTCGAGGCTGTTAGGAATGGTGGGAGTTGGGGTCCAAAACACCTGGAGGGCCCACGTTTGCCCATGCCTGCAATAATTGTTCTCCTTTCTTTACAAAGGATGAGTAAACTACAAATCCACAACCAGTTTCGACTCAAGAGAGGCTTCGTCAGGTGAAATGTAGTCTATTATCTGTGTTGTTTTTCTGAAAATATGGATCAAAAAGTTCTGTTTCTTAACATTCATACTCTGCTGACCAGTTTTATTCCAATGCGAGTATATCAACAGTTTTATTCCTATACTCAGCGTTTGGGGAATTGCAGCATTAGTGCAATTTCAAGGCACATGTTTGGAAGTGCTGAAGGAAATGTTGATCTGTTTCCACATAAAAATAAAGATAGCATCCTACAGAAAAACATCTCAATTTGACAATTTTTACTCTGTAAGCCAGATTTGTATAAAGGAGCACATTGGCCAAAACTCCTGTCGAGTACAGAGAAGCCTGTATATGCTGCCAGGTGATGTTATTAAGATGTTGCTGTTTTGAGGTGTCTTGTTTCAGCTCCATCATACAGAAGAGTCTTGTCCAGGCCAGCCTCTACAACAATGCTAAGAGCTATTTGCATTCCCGAGGAAGAGACGGAGGAGGGATTAAGTCTGAATTAAGCCTTCAACTCTTCCAAAACAGCAATTATCTCTTATTTCCGGGATGATATCATGACATTTCTTACCATGCTTTCTAGACATTTGCATTTTGATTTTAGGCTATAGACTATAAAGCGAGCTTGCATTCATATATTTCATTACATTTCACTAACATGAATGGGAATTATGCAACATTAACCAGTGTGTGTATTGACAGTTTGTTTTCCTCTTGATCAGTGCTTCCCAAAGTGGGCAATAGTGCCCCCCTCGGGATACAGGAATGATTCAGGAGGGTGGTAGTAGCCTGGGGTGCAATTGTGGGGGGGTGCTGAATAAAAGTAAGAAGGTGATGGAAACATCAAAAAAGAAGAGAAAAAAAATGAAAAAGCATTCATACATATTTCAACTCTTCTGTAACCGAGTTAAAATTGTGGGTTTTTGAAATGAACACAGAAAATGCAAGTTATAACAGATCAGTAGTTAAGGTCTTAGCAAGCAAGTGTTGGTAGGCATTTTATATCCCATTTCTTGCGGTCCTTCCAACCTAGGGCAACTGAGGCTTCGATTGCATCCATCAAATGCATTAATAACACTTCAAACAAATGAATAAACGTGTAAGATGCAAGTCATTGCCCTGAGATCTAGGTACATACCAAACTGGAAAAATAGTAAGGTTTGTGTGGGGAAAAGAGCAATGGCTACACATCTGCAAAGCTAAAGAAGACAATTGCTAGAGAGCAAACAAAGTGGGAAAAGAAAGTATCCTCAGAAAACCATAATTCAGTATTTCCAAACACACAAATTAAAAAATAAAATAAGTGCCAGAGAAACTTGTACTAAGGAAAGAAGGATATAATTTATACACTGAATGAGTTTTTAAGTATTATGAGTATTGGCAATACATGTACATTGGAGAAGTAATGATCAAATTGTTATGGCAAACAGAAATGTCTCCCTTTGCTCCCCCTAGTGGATGCAGTGCACAGTATGCAAATAAAGCTTGCTTTCAAGGAATGCTGGTGCCTCAGTGTGTTTAGTTTAACATCACTTGAACTGCTGTGGCTCATTGCTATGGACTAGGAGCTGTAGTTTGCTGAGGCCCCAGCAATTTTTCACATAAAAGGCTAAAGACTTTGCAAAGCTACGATTCTCTTGATTCATTAGCACTGAGCCATGGCAGTTAAGGTGGTGTCAAACTGT